GGGGCGCCGATCAGCAGAACCCCCTGGCAGCTGCAACTTCCCTTACCCCTGCACCCTCCTGGTGCATCTCCCTTCCCTCACTGCCCCTGCCCCCTTTTTCCCTGATGCCCACCCCCTCACCACCCTCTGTCCCCGTTCCCCACACATGCCTTGCTCCATCCCCGCCTCATGCCCTGCTCCATCCCAGCCTAATGCCCACCTCTTCTTTCAAGCCTTCTCCCAGCACCTCCCCTTCTCTCCTCTAGCCTTCAAAGCCCTTCCTCTCTCTTCTCCCAGTAGTATCCTGTCTCCCCCCCGCCCCCACTGACACCTCTCCTCATGCTCTTTTCCTCATTGTCTCCACTTGGCCCCCTGGCATTTGTCTCTCCTCCACGCTGTCCCTTGGTGCCTTCCCCTTTCTTCTCCTGACTTGCCCCTCTCCCCTCAGCACAAGCCCCTTCCTCTCCGACCCTTTCCCCCTATTTTTCCCTCCTCCTCCAGCAGCTGCCAGCTGGTCTGTAACAGAGTTCTAGGGTCACCCTGACTTTCACCCTTCTGGTGCTCCCCCTACTCCAGCGGTCTCCAACCTTTTTACACTCAAGATAACTTTTTAAATGACAGAACAAGTGAAGATCTACCACCCTGCCCATTCCTTGAAGCCCCGCCCTCTCTATTCTCCTTTTTAAATGACAGAACAAACCAAGATCTACTGCCCCGCCCCTTCCTTGAAGCCCTGCCCCCTCTATTCTCCTCCTCTCCATCCCTTGCTATCCCCATCTCTTCTACTGTTGCTTTTTTCCCCAATTCTTCTGTAGGAAGAAGTTTTTCCAACATTTGGCCATCTAGACTGGACCAAATGTCAGAAAACCCCCTTCTTTTGGAAGCCCCCTTATTCCTCGTGGAAAGAGGAATATCAGGGTGACCGAAAGATTATATTTGCTCATCCACTAAAAAAAGCGAGAAAACAAATGCATTCCTGGATGCAGAAGAGTTTTTCGGGGATATCTTCAGAATCCTGAAAAACTCCTGCAGTCTAGCCATACCCTTGCTGGGTTGAGGACAGGATGTGCAGGCTCTGGGATGGGAATGAGGGATTTGGCTGTGGGAAGGGGTGAGAGGTGCAAGCTTTGGGAGGAAAACTGGATGCAGGAGGAGGTGGAGAAGGGGACGCTGGCTCAAGGAGGGGGCTCCAGGCCAGACAGTGTTGGGGTACTAAGCAAGCCACAGGCTTGTGGTAGGGTGTGGGGCAAGGAGGAGTGCAGGAGTGGCTGTGGCCAGATGAGGGCTTGTCCCCACTTGGATATTTGTTGGCCAGGCTTCATTTTTAAATAAAATACTATGACAAATACAAAAAGTTTCTGCATTGTCTTTATTTAGGAGAAGAGCAGGGACCCTGTCTTGAGTCAGGGGTCACTGACCCACAGAAAAATCAGTTGGGAGCAGGGGACATGGTACTGGGGAAGGGTGTCAGTAGGGGCAGGGTTCTGCGGCTGGGAAGAGGGAACAGGGTGCCGAGGGGGGGAAGGGGATAGGTTTCTGCAGCTGGGGGCAGGGTGCCAGTGGGGCAGGGAGGGAGCCCTGCACCAGCCTCGGAGGGAAGACTCCGCGCACGCTGCCTCCGGGCGCTGACCCCCCGCGGAGGAAGAATGCCCCGTTGCGCACTCCCGCCGAGCAGGGAAGCCGCGCACGCGACCCCTTGGGGCCCGACCCCCACGGGCCAGCCACACTGCTCCTGACCCAACTCCTCCTCCTTCCCGGGCCAGCCGCGCTGCACCCAATCCCCTGCCCCGGGCACCCCCCACCTCTCCTACTTTTTCCTTCCCCGCCCCGGCTCCGGGGTTCAAACTCACCGCGCTTGACTGGGCAACAGGGTGATGTTGCTACATCCCTGCCGCCTCTTTCCGCAGGGTCCAAACCCGGCGCGGCGCCCATTCCCCAGAGCACCGAAGCGGCGCTCCTTCTAGTGTAGGGGCTCATGCCCCGCACCACGGGCGGCCCTTTGAAACATTAGCGTGTGCCTGTGCACACCCGGCACAGCCCGTGCGCACGGTGCACTGTTATGTCAATGGGAGAGCCTCTCCCTTCAGTGTAGTTAATCCACCTCTGCAAGAAGCAATAGTTTCTTGTTGACATAGTGCTTTCTACACCTCAATTTTCCCGTCTGTCAGATGTGGATAAGGATTTTTCTCTCTCTTTGTAAAGCACTTCGATATCTGTGGATTATTATTGGTGAGGCTTGCCTACAGTTAGAGGTTGCTTTTAGATCCCTGTTTGCTCCTAGGTTTACAAGTGATGTCAATGGTCAAATACACATTTTTTCATTTGCATTGCCAAGAAAATCTCAACCCTTTCATTTGGCTATGGACCTTGACACAGTTAGCCACACCTAAGTGATTTCCAAATTGGAGTGCTACAAAGTGCTATGCACGGGGCTAGCTTTGAGGACTACCAGGAAGCTACAGTAAGCACAGAATGTGGTTGTCCACCAACTTAGCAGCATCAGATGCAGGGAATACACCCTAACACCTCACTGATCCTCCACCTTCTATGGATTACATTGCTCTGTAAAGTCCTGCCTGCTGGAGATACTGCATCTCTAACTTCCAGATAACTGAACTGTGCCTGCTAACAACCCCTAGAACTGAATGACACGGCATTCTCAGTGAAGTTCTCCATACTAGAACTTCCACCTACATCTAGTAGGATCACTAGGACACAGTGGAATGCATATCAATTTTCTCAGACCTTTGCTGCAACAATTGATTGTTGGGTTTTATATACAGGGCAGTTGTCATCAATGCATACAGCTTAAAAATAGGGTAAGAGAGTTAATGTGGTGTAAGGCCTCTAGCAACAGAAGTAATAGCTTCATTATTATAAACTGGACAATATTTAGGGCTAGAAAAAGGAGCTACTACTGGCAAAAATATTAACCAGCAAATGAAAAAGCCCAACCTGCTTTGCATACATTTGCCTTTCTGTTAGCAGTTGAGTAAGTGGCTGGTTCCCCTGGACCCTTCCCCCTATTGCCTCATTGTAGTTCCAACATAACATTCCCTGTTCTTGACAAACCTCCTTCCTCATGTTTCTGATAACAGTCAATAACAGTCAATTCTCTGGCTTCTCTTGGACTTATTTTCTGCTGAGCTAGTATTTATTATTAGAATGCCAAATTTTGAGCTTAGTAATGTGTGCAAACAGGGATAACACAGCTAAAGTCAATGGAACTTGTTTAGGTTTACACAGACAGAACCAAGATTAGAATTTGGCCCATAATTCTTAAATTTGCCTGTTTTTTTAAATTCTTCATGGGTTGACTTAGTTTGTCAGGCTTTTTAAATATTTCTTTTAAAATTGGAGCTAGCCCACTAGACAGGTTTATGCTAGATCTCACAACTCTAAAATCTGATGTACACACACTCAAATTTCTCAGCAACTGTTTGAAATGGCAAATCAGGTGAAGTTGGGACAAAGAAAAGAAGAAGGAACAAGAAGGCAGCTATGTCACCCAAAAGGTCAAGGTGCTTTCCAGCATACAGCCCAGCTCCAAAACTAAGGGGAGGGGAATGAAGAGAACCTAGAGAAATCATTGTTTTCTACTTTTCATCCATGTTTGTTTATTAAACATTCCAGCAACTTAATCAAAGTTGTGCTTGTGGTGAGAAATCTCTGCAATCATCTGCCCTAAAAACAGCTATAAAATAATTTTCATACAGCTTTTGATGATGATGTTGTCTTACAAGTATCTGCTGTTTCACAGTATTGCAAAGAAAATATTTCTCGTGCTTTGGACATACTGCTTCTAAACAGGTTTTTTTCCTTGTGCATTTTGCAGTGCAAGGAGCATTGATTAATGTGAATGTTTTAGCTGTAGTTGTTGTTTGTGTATAAACTTTTGTTAAAACAAGTACTACAGAATAAATGACCTTTATACAGACACCTATTAAGGCACTAAAAGGCTTGGCTACATTCATCTGAGACGCGTATACATAACGATTGGAACAATAAAGGGATCAGCAGCTGCAAGGGGGTTGAATTGAATTCTTTAACAATGGAAAAGTTTTCAGGCCCAAATACCAGTAAAGAGAATTTTTTGCAGATAATCCAAGAGAAAGAAAATAATAAAAAAAAATGCTAGCCAACTTTGCAGCAGTTAGCATAAGGTTGCCATCTGAAACATGTCAGCTTAAGAGTGGCCCATAGTACCATTCTTTTACACAGCCATAGTCTTCAGAACTGTTTCCCCAAATAATCCCAGATGGCATGCCACAAAATTTCAATTCATTTTAAAAGCTTTCTTTGCTGTTATTATGTGATTGAAAGTGCAAAAGCAAGTTGCCATTCTCATGGCACTATTTGCATTGGCTATTATCCCCTAAAATCCCTTTTAAACAGCTACATTGTCAGCCCATAGGCCTCATTTAGGACTACAAAAAAGACCAGATTAATTCGATCAAAGGGAGAGCCAAGTACAAAATGCACTTTTCAAACTGTATCAGAGTAGGTTCCCTTTACAGATCACTGCATGGCAAGAAAACAACTGAAATAAAACTTGAGCACAAACAAAAATAATGATGCTTGTCTCGTATGGGAGCCTTTGGGGATCTTTCAGCATAAGACTCGTATTACAAATGATTAGAATGAAATATATTTAAAGACAGAATCAAAAACTAAGTAGCAAGCATCAGTCTCTGCACATTTGGCTTTCTGCCACTATTTACCATACGCAGTTTGATGCATATCATGGATTACCTAGCCGGCTATCGACATTTCTGAAGTCTCTATGTACTGGAATTTTTATTGAATTAATTACAATTTTCAATAAAGTTTCAGGTAGGTACAGGTACCTGGGCATATTTTAGTTACTACAAAGCAAAAAATAATCAGTATGACAAAGGAAAAAAAAGATGCTTTTATCATTACAAAATTACCTATTTCAAAGTTCAAAGTGAACTCTCTCAGGCATAATGGAGGACCATATTTCTACAGCCAAATTGGCTCTAATAGTTTTCTAGTCTCACCTGGGGATCTGGAAGTAGGCATAAAGCTGAGGTGAGTCAAGCTGGTGTTTTTGTCTCTTACAGAAGCTCCTTTAGATATCTGAGCACAGTTATCCTTCTCTCTCTCTACTGGAGGTTGCTTAGCAGTGCTGCCCTTGGTTCTCTTACTCACACTCTGAAGCTGTTTCTTAAGCAGCTGCTTTTGTGTACTGAGAACATTTTGCAGAGGCTAGGACTGCCGCACAAAGGTAGAGCAACCGAATGTGTGAAACGTTATGTGCAATTGCCTCTTTATGGACACATCGAGCCAGGAGAGACCTGCTGGAAACGGAACAGCTGCAGCAAATATTAAAGTTAGTGGCTATCACACGGATGTGGCTAAACTTTTACTTAGCCATTTCCAACCAGTCTTTGGCTTTTTAAGCATTACTGAGTAAGTTTATCTGATATTATCTGACTTTTTTTTCACTTCCTGAAATAAATGCTTTGTGCTGTATTAATCTTAAGACCATAAATGCTGTGTTCCAACTGAGAATTGCTATTAAATAACACAATGAAAAATGGCCTTGAAATTATTTGCAGTACATATTTAACGCATAAGTTTTGTGATACCCTTGCTATTATTTAAGCGCTGGCCCTGACTTATAACAACATTATTTTGTGTGGCTGACGTTGGAGATGGGGAAAAGAAGAGTAAGTGTAAAATTTAAAACTGTTATGGTTACAATTGGAAACAAAAGACACACTTGGCTGCCATATATGTAGGGATGAATTAGAGTTTAAAAAAATCTATAAAGACTTATTTAAATAAATATATATGTCCCTTCACATGACCACTCTATATCCATAGTTTATTTTTCTTTTGTGTGTCGGACCCCTGCAGACTTTTCTTTTACAAAATGCAGTTTAAAAAAACCCTCACATTAGAAGCTGCTCTTTTCTTGAAAATAAATAAGCATAAAATACAATAATATCAATAAATATTTGTTCTGACTGTTCCTCAGAAAAATGATATATGTATTACTACAAGAGTCAGGAGAACGTAAGAACAGCCATACTGGGTCAGACAAAAGGTCCAGCTAGCCCAGTATCCTGTTTTCCAACAGTAGCCAATGCCAGATGCCCCAGAGGGAATGAACAGACCAGTTAACCATCAAGTGATTCATTCCCTGTCGCTCATTCCCAGCTCATTCCCAGTTTCTAACAAAGCGACTAGGGACACCATTTCTACTCATCCTGGCTAATGAAAATTGATGGGCCTATCCTCTGTGAATTTATCTAGTTCTTTCTTGAACTGTTAAAGTCCTGCTCTTCACAACATCCCCTGGCAAGGAATTCCACAGGTTGACTGGGTGTTGCATGAAGAAATTCTTCCATTTGTTTTAAACCTGCTACCTTTAATCAGAGAACTAATGACCACAAAAGGGATTTACACCCAGGCAAAATATAAAATTCAGTCTCTTGATTAGTTTTTTTTTTAATTCCTACAGAAGTAGGCCCTAGTCCTGCACATTCTTATTCATATGCTTAACTTCATTTACAATCTGCTGGGCAGTGTTCCTTGTAAGCTGCGCCCTTGTGCAGCCACTCAGGAGAGAGTCAAATGCCACCCAGCTGATTAGCAGATGCCTCAGTACACATAAAAGAATTTATTCTGCACGAGGATGGAAAAGATTAGAGGGAACACTGCTGCTGGGACTATTGACTGCAGTAAAGTTCCTTATGTGCATAAGGGTTTGCAGAATTGGGGGTCTTAGAGACTGCACAGTGCACCTCCTATTGGCTTCCAAAGGTCTCTGCAAGATGCTTCAGTTAAAACACTTTCTTTTTCTAGAAATCTGACAATGATTTCTCACCTATGTGCTTAGAAATAACCAGTAACAGAAATATCAGACTCTTTTTAATCACACTCACATGATGCACAAACACCTCTGCTCTGTGCTGTCCAGGTTAACTGAAAGGGAGGGAGTTGATCAGTTCCCAGACCCAGTCTTAAGCACGGGGGCAGAAGAATCAGGCACAGACCGTGCAGTCACTCCAAGAGATATTCGGAGCGTTATTTCGGAGCTTCACCACAGCCGCAGTTCCTGCTCCGGGGGCAGCCAAGCAGCCCGGCCAGTGGAGTTGGGGGCGGTCGGCTGCTCCGTGTCCTTCCCGTTGTGCGTGCAGTGTTCAGGACCAGGAAGCAGAGCTACGTGGCCATGAGCATCCCGAGGATCAGGTTAGAGGCCGCGAGGAGCTGCACTGGGTGTCTGTGATTTCCACCCCTCCTGTGGCAGGGTCCAGCTTCCCTCGCAGGGTCCGTGCAGCTCCGACCTGCACCATGGATGTGGCCGATTCCCAGCGTCCCAGGGCATCGCAACCTGCAGCGCTGGGCAGAGTTGTGAGGGGGGAGCCGGGCTCCCTGACTCAACCCAACACGTGTCAGGGGGGCTGGTACTACCCGGCTTTTCGGGGGGGCCAGGAGCCTGAGACATGCAGGGGCTGAGTGACCCTGCACCTCTAGACCCTGTGAACAGCCTGGGGGGGGGGGGGACTCGTAAGCCGCCAAAAATGTGCGCCCAGCCCTGTCGCTTGTGCCGCAGACAACGCCAAACCCGCGCGTGGCTCAGGGGCTGTGCTCTCGCCAGGCCTGGCAGGGCAGGGGCGGGGTCTCACAGCAGGCGGGCCATGCAGGGCCCAGCTCGGCAGCCTTACAGCAGCCGCGACCTGGGCAACAGCGCCCAACGGGCAGCTGGGAGACACAGCAGGGCTAAGTGAGGGGAGTGGGGCATGCACGGGGGGAGGGGGCTCCAGGTATGGGGGGAGGGCTCTGGGGGTGAAGGGCTCTAAGAGGTGGGGCTGGCACTGGGGGGCTTTGGGGCAAGGCTAGTACTGGGGAAGCTATGGGGACAGGGCTGGCCCTGGGGATGGGGTAATATTGGGAACTGGCACAGGTGGGAGGCTCTGGAGGGTTGAGTGCAGTCTGGTTCTGGAAACAGGAGGCTGACACTGGGGGGTCTGGTGTAGGGGGCTCTAAGGGATGGGGGTCTGGCACTGGGGCACTCTGAGGGTGGGAGGCTGGCACAGGGGGGTTAGATGCAGGGGTTCCGGAGTCAGTTTCTGGCGCAAGGGGGTAGCAGAGGGTTGGGGGGGCTCTATGGTTTAGGGCTGGCACTGGGCGACTCTGGAGGCCGGGGCTTTTGGCAGACCAGTAACATTTTATTTGAATATTTGCGTATTTATTATTGCATCTTTACCCCCAGCTCACCTCAGTGTGCCACCCACGTCAAAATTCCTTGGGACCCAGCACTGGTTGGGTCCACCTCCAAAGACTGTTGCATGCGCCTTCGGTGGGGCCCCAGTGAGTCTAAGGCTGCTCCTGCTTCAGGTAAGCACGTGACTTCCCAGAATCTCACACATTCACTGCTGCTTCCTGTCCAGACAGCGAGGTTGTTCTGCACTGTTAGCAAGTAGGACTGGATGCACACTTTTTTACAAGGTCTTCTTGGGCCATGGATACATTTTTAAAGAAAGTTCAACCAAGTATTTCACCGAATGAAGGGGTGAAGAAGAAGGGGAGAAGAAATACAATTACATCACTTTGATGGGTAGTTTTACAGCAATCGAAAATAAACTTCATTGTGCTGTGGGTGGTGAACTGGTAAGTGCATGAGACTTGCAAAATTAATTTGGAAAGCAAACACCCACAATTAAAGAACAAGCCTCTTGAGTGCTTTAAGAGAAAATTAAACAGCTTGAATAGCTGGCAAACACTGATGTGGAATACAAGTAATGTCAGTAGGAACGCTCTTGAAGCATCATATCTCATGTCACTTTTTATTGCCCAAACATGAAAGGCACATACAATCTGTGAGACTTCACATGGGATTAGACATGGTTACAAGCATGACTGGCCAGGGGGAGCCAAAGAAACTTAAAGCTATTCCTTTATCAAATGATACTCTTTCAAAGTGTATTAATGAAATGGTTCATGACATTCATAAGCCGTTGAAAGAAAAATTAAAATGATATTTCAGGCTCGGCACAGTTCTTAGTTTGCATTCAGTATCATTCAGATGCTTATGTTGAGGAAAACACAGCCTTTTGTAAAGCTCTGCCTAGCCACGCAACTGGTGAATGTCTATGTCTACTGAATATTTTGAAATTGATTGGCAAAAAGGTATTACTATGTGCAGTGATGGCGCCAAAGCAATGACTGGAAAGAACAGAGGGTTTATTGCAAGATTAAAAACCATTATGCCACATACAGCTTGGACTCATTTCTTCTTATTTAGGCAAGCACTCGCTGCAAAAGGAATGCCTTTTGAGCTGAGTCAGGTGCTTGATGAGTCTGTAAAAGTACAGGCAGTCCCTGAGTTACGCGGATCCGACTTATGTCGGATCCGCACTTAAGAATGGGGCTTTTCTCGCCCCGGAACTCGTGGGCGGCGGGACCACCCAGACGCACAGTGGTCCCGCCACCGTGTCCTCCGGGGCAAGAAAAGCTGCTCCCGGGGTCCCTG